TATATTAAAGTTGTATTAGATATGTTTCATAATTGTATTAAAATCATGAACAATACATTTACAATACATATTAGAAACTTCACTCATTTTTTAGTGATATCAACCAAAATAATTTAAGTAACACACTTGTAATACATTTATAACATATGCACAATACATTTGTAATATATATTGCAAACATCACTCATGTTCTTAGTGATACAAACTAAAATAATTTATAAGACACATATAATACATGTTTTATTCATGAATAATACAAGTTTAATTCAATCTATAGATTATTGTCTTGTCTTTCGTTAGTTACGTTTTTCATTTATTGTTAATTTTCTCTTCTAATTCAATTTTAATATTGTGTAATACACTTTTAATGCAATTATTTTTTTTGTAGTTTATTATTTGTTACTGTTAGATTACTTGTTTAATTCATTATTGATATAAGTTTAATTCACTATATAGATCATTGTCTGGTGTTTCATTAGTTACATTTTTTATCCATGCTTAATTCTCTCTTCTAATTCAACTTTAATATTTGTGTAATGCACTTTTAATACAAGTTAATTCATTTTGCAATTTATTGGTTGATTTGTTATGATTGAATTACTTGTTTAATTCATTGTTGATACAAGTTTTATTCAGTTTACAATAATGCTCTTTTGTTTGCTACATTTTGCATTCATGTTTAATTCACTTCTAATTCAACTTTAATATGTGTGTAATACATTTTTAATTCAAGTTTAATTCATTTGGCAGTTTATTATGTCTCTTCATTTGTTAGGATTAGATTACTTGTCTAATTAATTATTGATACAAGTTTTATGCAGTTTACGAATCATTGACTCATCTTTCGTTTGCGATTAGTTTGGATAGGTTGTTCCTACAAATAATTGAAAATATCGTTTGGAGTTTATATCTCTAAAGAGGGTTTGATTAAGTTTAGAATTAATTTTAGGAAAAATATTTGATTGAAACTCGAAAAGGATGAAGTTTACAGAACTATATTGTGTTTGTATTAAAGTTGTTGCATTAGATATGTTTCATAATTGTATTAAATACATCCTACATTTATAATACATATTGCAAACTTCACTCCCTTTTAATGATATCAGCTAAAATAATTTAGGTAACACACATAATACATTTATAATACATGCACAATACATTTTTAATACATATTACAAATATTACTCACTTTCTTAGTGATACAAACCAAAAGTAATTTATAAGGCACATATAATACATGCTTTATTCATGAATAATACATTTATAATACGTATTGCACACTTCACTCCTTTCTTACGGATACCAACAAGAATAATTTAGGTAACACCCTAATAATACATTTATAAGACACGCACAATACATTTTTAATACATATTGCAACCATCACTCATTTTCTTAGTGATAAAAATAAAAATAATTTATAAGATACATATAATATAAGTTTTATTCATGAATAATATGAGTTTAATTCAGTTTATAGATTGTTGTCTTGTCTTTCGTTAGTTACGTTTTTCATTCATTCTTTATTCTCTTTTCTAATTCAACTTTAATATTGTGTAATACACTTTTAAATACAATTTTAATTCATTTCGCAATTTATTGGTTGATTTGTTACGATTGAATTACTTGTTAAATTCATTATTGATACAAATTCATTCAGTTTACAAATCATTGAATGCTCTTTCGTTTGCTACATTTTGCATTCATGTTTAATTCTCTTCTAATTCAACTTTAATATGTGTTTAATACATTTTTAATTCAAGTTTAATTCATTTTGCAATTTATTATGTCTCTTCATTTGTTACGATTAGATTATTTATTTAATTAATTAATTATGATACAAATTTTATTCATTCTACGAATCACTACTCTACGAAAGAAACTAGAGAGAGAGAAAGAAAGGGGAAAAAAACAACAAAAAGAGAGAGAGAAAAAGCAACAAAAAGAAAGCAAGAAAGAAAAAGGCAACAAAAAGAAAGCAAAAAAGAAACAGTAACAAAAAGAAAAGAAGGGAGAAAGAACGACATAAAAAAAAGAAGAGAAAGAGCGAGAATGAGAGATAAAAATTATAAAGCTGAGAGAGAAAAAAGAGAAAGAGGCGAGAGAGAAATCTAATAAAATATATAGTATTGTTATATATTGCTATAAATGGTAATAATTAAAGAGTATATTTAAAATAAGTAATTATTTTTTAAAAGAGATCCACTTAAGTAATTAATCCATAAATATACCCTTTTGACTAATTTTAACACCACTCGTGTTGTCACGAAATTTGGGCGCGTAAATGACTGTTCATACAGCATCAGACCAATGTAAAATTGGCACTCCCAATTTGACTTATTTTGAAAAAATATAAAAATCCATGTATTAATTGTTTTTTTTAAGCTTTATTAGAAATAATTTTTAATTTTCAAATCTTTTTTTTCATCTTCCCTACCATCATTAGATTACCCATATTTCTTGGGCATCTATGTCTTCCTTATTTTTTTTAAAGCTAATGTTATTGTGTTCGTTCGTATTCTTCTTCTTTTTTAAAAATCAAATTAGTTTAGTGATTTTATTCCTCCTACAAATCAAGTTTGGGATTTGGGAATAGTGAAACTATGAAAAACTCGATTTGGGAGTAAGAAGTTGGAGAAGGAGGTGATTTAAATGTCAGATTTTGACTTGGTGATATTTTGAGTATTTAGATTTTGATTATTTGACGATATTTATTTTCATAAATAAATTAATTGGTGGTAACTTGACAAAAAATTGATAATGCTGCCGAGAAATTCCGTCCCGCCACAGCGGGTTTGGCGATTGTTCTTCGCGAAAGGAATGGCAGAAGCTAAGAACAGAGATTGATGCGAAGAAGAAAGAGAAACAGAAAAAAAAAAGGAAAAAGAAAAGCAAAGAAATCTAATAAAAATAATTAAAAATTACTTTTAACACGTGTTAAGTGACTATTAGTGCGTGACTTACAAATATTTTTGTATAAGTGGTACTGGGTGAAAATGGGGTATACATACTATTGTGAAGTTGTTCAATGGGGTAATAGGACACCCGCAAAATTAAGGTGTCTTTTTGAAATTTTGAAACAAGTTCAATGGTGATTTTATGTCTTTTCTCTTAAAAGATAAAAGACTCAAATATGTCATTAAACTTTGAGAAAATACTTATTTATGCTATCCGTTAAAAAATTGGCTCATTTATATTATTGTCGTGGTGTTTATGCATTTTAATATTAAAATAAAAATATTAAGTGCATATGTTAGTGGGTATAAGTTCACAAGAATGTGAAGCTTTGGACTCTTCAACTAATCCAGAGTTGCTTGAGTTGTACACATTATTGGTTGTTGTATCCTGAAGGGGACAAGTCAAGAGATATACTGCTGAATTGGTGTAGATTATGTCACAGTGGACTTAAATCTCCATAAAGAGAGCGAGATATTCGCGCCTCAGCCTAAATATTTGATTATTCATTTTTGTCATTTTAATTTCAACTGTAATATTTTGTATTTGTGGTATATTACACCAACAATTGTTGTTAAAGAAAATGCTTATTCACGTCATTTTTAACTCCAATTTTGCAAACCCATTTTTTATACCCAGACAACTTTTGACATTTTTCAATTGGGATTTTTGGATCAAATGTAGTCTTTTTGCTTATTCTTCCTTAAGAACACCAAAAACACCTTAAGAACATTAACAATTTTCAAATTTTAAACTTTTTTCAATTCTTCACGAAATCACTTTAAATTTCAAGAGTAGTTTCCTTCCGAGCTAGATACCAATCTCAGTATTTTTTGAGCTCGAATTCAACCTAACTCAACAAGACCCGCATGAAATTTTTTCAAAGTTTCGAAACTTCAACATTTTTTAATGGTAGAATTTTCTCCACAACTTTAAATCATTTGAAATTTAGAACATAGACTCAAAAAATACTAGGAAACAAAGATCTAATGTCAAAAATAACTACAAAAACACAAATCAAACCAAATTATTGAAATTTTGGGACTGATTTTCATTAATTTTTTTTTGGAATTTTCTTAATTAACATGTGAATTTTTTAAACTCTACAAATAATTTTAGAGTTTTTTTTAAAAAAATAAAAATTAAAATTAATGATATAGTCAAAAATTGAGATGATTTCGTGAATAATTGAAGATGTTGAAAAATTCTGAGTTGTTTCTGTTCTTCATGTATTCTTGAAGAGTATATTTGATCCAAAATTTCAATTAAAAAGTGTTAAAAATTGTTTGGGGTGTAAAAAATGGTTTTGCAAAATTGGAGTTAAAAAAAAGGCATGAATGAGCCTTTTCTTAAACGGTAATGACATAAATGAACCAAACTTTTAACGAATCACATAAATGAATCTTTTTTAAAAATTCAATTGCATATCTAAACCTTTTCCCTATTTAAAATTAATTTTTTTTTATAAATTTCTAGTCCATGTGTCTAATTCGGAAAATAGGGTCTAAAAAGACAACTCTTAATAAGATTAGATGCTGGACCCAAATTATTAAATTCTCTCAATGCCACAAACAACAATTATTTAAGTTTAGTTCTGATAAAAAAAACAAATAAACAAAAAATGGTCCTGCCTTTAGCTCTTCCACACAATTTTATTAATTAGGTCCATTTTTTCTGTGGGGCTGTAACTAACAGTACTTTTTTGATTAGTCCTATTCAATTTAGATGCATTTGTCGTGAAGGCGTTTGGGCATAAAGCAAATTAACTCTTTTTAATAGTTTGAACTTCGTAAAGTATATTTGATCATAAAATTTTAAAATTAGTATCTTCAAAGATTTTAATAATAATGAAAAAAATATTTTCACTTTAAATTACTCACAAAGAGTCAAAAACAACTCTAATTTATATTAATAAACAAATAAAATTTTAATTTTCATCCATAAGGATTGTGATAAAGTGAAAAAGATTCTTTCGTCTTTAATCAAAAGTCTCGAGTTGACTCTATCTGGATACAGAATCGAATGTAAACCTTTTTTATTTTTTTGCTTTTCTTCTCCATTCGTTATATATCCAAGCACCACAAGGAGACGGTAAAGGGGAAATTAAAGAGGATTCTTCTTCATCATCTTCCATAGACGAGACCTCCAATAATCTCCATGGCTTTCGGGTTTTTCGCTACTTGTATGACTGCAATTTTGCGATTCAAAGCTTCGCTTGAGGTCAATTTCTCAATCATAATCTTACTTTCGTTTATAACAGCTAAATGAAATTTAAATATCAAATGTTAACGATACCTCACTATATATAGTATCCATATAATTTTCAGACATCATCATAATCATGATCAATTATACTCTGTTTTCAACTTGTCTGTCTAAATTAATATATGAAAAGTTAAAAGATATTTTTTTTAATAATTTTGAATTTTGAATTATTATAATTTATAATATTTTTTTAATTTTCTATATCTAAACTAAATTCATATTGAATATTAATTAATTTGAGGGATAATAAATTGGGATAATTACGTTAAAAGACCATTTGGTGATCAACTCTTCTTCGTCCTTCTTCTTCTGCTGTTGTTATTGTTGGTGTTGCAATTTCTTCGTCTTCTTCTTCTTTAAAATTCGACATAGCATAAACGTGTCGTGAACTTCTTTTCTGGAGAAGAAGTAATGACGGTATTAGGGGAATAGGCATTCGGTTAACTCAAATCTTTTCAAGCTAATTATATATCAAAAACTCGAAACATTAGTAGGATCTTATATCTAAAATTTGTGACTCTTTAGAGGTCATTTTGAGTTGATAGAGATTGAATAGTTAGAATATACTTCATGTATAGTCTGAGTATACTTCATATATTATCAATGTATACTTCATATATATTAAGGTTTTTAAGTGTATCATAATTAGTGTATAACTCAGGTATAGATAAGTTATATTATATAGTCAGTATATATTTTTTATGACTTCTGACAAGCTATATTGTTTGATTGACGTATACTTTCTGTGACTTTTTGTCTAGATTACTATTTGAAAAGTTAAAAGATATTTTCTTTAATAAATTTGAATTATAAATTATTATGTGTGTATTTTTAAATATATAAAAAATTCTATATCTGAATTCATATTGAATTTTACTTAGTCTGAGGGATAAATTTTTTGTTGTTTGTAGGAATCCATCATTATAAATAAAGTAAGTATGTGGAACTGTTTAGGACATCAAAAAGGAAAATCTATTGTTAAGAGAAAAGATGGAACAAAAAATATTATAGGACCAAATCGTCCAATTTTCGTGTTATTTGGATCATCAATAGTGCAATTAAGTTGCGACTTACATGGTTGGGGTGCAAGCCTCACAAACCTTTACTCTCGCAAGGTAATTTCTTGATCAACTTTCGTATAGCACATTAGTATATGTGTTAATTACTCGAAATAACGAATGATAATATTGGACGAATATATTTCATATCTCACTCTTCTTTCTCTTTCTCTTTCTCTCATCCCTTTTTTCCTTTGTAAATGTGTTTCTCAATTTCACGTATTTGGTGTATTTGTGCATATCAATTCTATCTCTAGTGTATCAGGTATTAAATATCTAATGTATTCAATATTAGTTTTATGTATCTAGTATAAAAAATGCATTGATATATTCAGTGTATCTGTGCATAGTTACAAATTTATTTCAAGAGGACACCGATGCAGCTAGTGTATCAGAGATGTATTTGTGTATAAATACATCTATCTAGTACTCCCTCCATTCAGAGGCAAATGCAAAATAAAGCTTGAGGCTTCTTAATTTTAGGACAGAAGAAAAACATATTGTAAAACATGTTTCCTTTAATTAAAAAAAAAGGACAAAGGTTTGAACCCACAACACTAATATGAAAGACATTTCTACCACCCCTTCCTTACCACAGAGCTATAAATTTTGTTGGGGTTCACAAGTTAATATATACATATATATATATATATTATTTTTATTTTTTTTCTAATACAAATACAGGGTCTACGGAAAAGCTAGTGGGTTCGTCCGAACCCACGAACCTCCACCTAGCTCCGCCTCTACCTCCATTTCAAAATAATTGAATTGTTGAGACATTTTTCATATTTCAGATTAACTTAATTGTCAATCTTTAAGATTATTTTTAAAATATTCTTCCATTTTTACCCTTCATTTGAATTTTCTATGTGATGAGTTCAAGAAACTTTAGTTGCTTTGAATTATTTTCTATGTGATGAATTCAAGACATTTTTGAATTATTTAGTACTGAAATTGGTTATTATGATTAATGTTTAGACGATATTCTAAAGATTAATTTGACAATACTTAATAAGGGTAAAAATGAAAAACAATGTTTAATTTATGTCCTAATCTTGTTTTCTTAAAGGGTGTGAAACACCCAACAATTCAATTATATTGAAATGAAGAGAGTATCAAACAATCTCTATATTGTTCTAACAGTCTTCTTACAATATAAATGACTTTTGTAATAGATGGTCCGACATGAATCCAAATTGATATTTGGAAGATAAACATATCCCTCCAAATTCTCATCTCGACCATCCTCTTTCAAATTTTTTATAGTATCACTTAGTGTAAACCTAAATTTGCAATGACAAAATCAGAATTCAGACAATAAATTCATTTTTTGCGTTTCTTATCCACACTTTACTCATAAATTATAATAATATGTTTTATGCTCAAATAAATATCATGACATATTTAAAATGACAGAACTTGACTTTATTGAGATTTGGCAAGAACAACATTTTAGTAAATTAAATGAAAATATTTTTTTGTAGTATAAGTTTAGGTGACCTTGTGTGTTATTTGAGAGACCTTCGATAACTACACAGGCCGATATTTTCTTGCGTGGATATAATGGTTGGAACTCAAGGATGGCTCTTAATGTTTACAAGCAAATTTTCCCTAAGGTAAATAATATTGCTTCATGGATATTTTATTTTCAATGATTTAAAAATTATCTTAGCTCTTGATAAAAAAAATTTTATTTTCTTTTTTGCTTAATTACTAAACACGAGAAAATAAGTAAGAAGTCAACATGTTTTTTCAGAAAACATTTTTTAGGAAAATATTTTCAATGAAAAATATTCTCCTTCATACCAAACAACACATTAAAATTGAATATCTGATAAACATTTTTAATATTGGTGAATTTTAAGTGATGTTGATTAATTTTATTTTATTTTGCTCTAATTTATATATATATAAATTTATTTGCGTGATAGTAAATTGTCTCATTCTTTTTTCTCGAAAACCTAATTTGAGGGAGCTCATTTAGATGTCCACAGTTGAAGTATTTTTCTTCATTGATATTCGATTTTTATTACTCAAAGTAGTTACAAAATTTACACAAATATCACCGATATTTAAAGTAATAAAGCTATAACTAAAGGATATGAATCTAAAACAAAAAAGACGTAGCTTAAGTGGGTCCCACAATTTTAAAAAAGGAAACTTTTTTTATTCTCCTAAAAATATCCTTCTTGAAACACACATCGATGAAATGTTTGATTTTGCCTCATCTCTCTTTTATATAATAAGAGAACTTGTTTAATTCACATGTAGGATGCAAAAATTCATCCTTCTCTTGTCATATTTTATTTTGGTGGAAATGATTCAGCAGATCCTAAATTTCCTTTAGGCCCAAATGTCCCTCTTGACGAATATGTTGAAAATATGAGGAAGATTGCACTCCATATAAAGGTATGTACTAACCCTTGAAGTTTAATCTTTTTATCGAATATTTATATCAAATTATTTTTCTATCGAATATTTATATCAAATTATTTTATTAATATAAGTAAGTATTTTAATAAGCCAAGTATGCTTAGTAATTCACAATGAATTATACTTCAAGGAGAGGTGAGTATGCTTTTTTTTTAAAAACGAAACTACATATCATGCTTTATTAGTTATTAGTTCAACGAAAAAGTGTTAAAATATCTTTAAATTATGTAAAATTAATAAAAACGTTATACATTAATAGTTTTGTTAAAAAATATCCTTATCGTTAATAGTTTGGTTAAAAAATACCACTATTATTACTTAACTAGGCTAAACATGTGTGCACTTTTCCTAATAAATATAGTTTTTTTTCTTTTTAAACACATTCTTTTTCCAATAAAATTATTATTTTTAAACAACCTTCTCTTAGTTTCTCTTCTTTTATAAAAAATCTCTTTTAATTAAAATAAAATAAAAAAGTTAGAAATAATTTTTGCCCCAATTGTCGTACAATTTACTTTGCTTTTTTGTGCAACATTTTGATGCATACACTTGCAGTGCCTTTCGGAAAAGACTCGTCTAATTATGCTAAGCGCTCCGGCAGTGAACGAGAAACAACTTGTTGAATATTACGGGTAATTATCGAAGTATTAATAACACCCTCGAACTCGATGCGAATTTCAGTTTTATCCATGAACTATTGACTAACTGAACTTAGATAACCATTGATCCTGTATCATGAGTAAAATACACCTTTAAATTCTCAGCAAGTTTTGGGGTGTTTTCAACACAACTTTTCTCGATTTTTTATTAAGAGCCTCATGCTCCTACAAGCGTTTGAGACCACTTATTATGTCATGTTGCAGTTTAGATAGTAGTGTTTTTAACGCTGTCAATAGTTTGGAGACGAAATTAATAATTTGCGTCAAGTTTAGGGGTGTTTTCAATACTTTTCTTTTTTCGACTGTTTTAAAAAGATACTTCTTTATATTTTTAACAAATCTTTAATTTCAACTTTAAACGTGACATATTTTTTTGATACATTCTACATATGTTTAGTATTATTTAAAAGTATGCATCTTTTTTTGATTAGGGATAATCGAGGTAGAACAAATGAGAGAGGTAAAATATACTCAGAAGCTGGTATTAAATTAGGCCAACAATTAGGCGTGCCGGTTATCAATCTTTGGTCAGCCCTTTACGAACGCCCTAATGTCTTCAGGTAATTCAAATTTAATATTACTTCTACACTTTCATTTTAGCGTTATTATAAATGTTGTATAGTATATTATTAGAGAGGCGGAGCTAAGGTTAGGAGTTAGGGGGTTCTAAATCAATTTTATTTGGGGGTTTACATGTTAATAAACATATATTTAATTAATTTTATAATATAAATATCGGGTCTAACAAAAAAGCTAGTGGGTTCGTCCGAACCCATGAACCCCCACCTAGCTCCACCTCTGAATATATATATAATTCATGTATAATATCTGTATAATCAATGCATATTTATGTATTTCGATCGAAAAAAATACATTCTGAAAACTTGGTCAAATGGCTGATAACATGTGATGATCGGGCTGAGGGCTACAACCTTGAGTTATCAAAGTCTTTTTAACTTGACCTGGTCTGATCGCACTATAAGATTGGCACTTCAAAATGCAAAGCTCATGTTATTTACCCTTTCACCTATTATATATTAAATTTTTATTTATTAAGAGAAGTACATGTAATTAATTACCTAATAAGTGACATGATTGTAGGTATAAGGTTTTTTTGTAGAGTTTTTGGCCAAAAACATCCTTGTACTATACCTTTAACTTAAACTACATCCTTATTATATTTTTGTAAGCAAAAAACATCCTTTACATTTCTCAAAGTTAACAACTCTCATCCTTTCAATGCTCCACTGTTAAGAAACTAGCGGGAGCTTCAAAATCATATGCAAAAAACGTGACTTTCACATGTCTAAAGAAAACACGAAAAGAAAATTTAAAAGATAAAAAAAAGTTTAAGAAATGCAGGATATATGTGCTCCTCCCAAGTCCCAACCCAAAGATGAAGAGGATTCCACTTACTAAACAAAATTCAGATTTTTAATAAAACGTGTTATCATCTATTGAAATAAATCATAAAAGTTTCATGCAATTTAAAAAAACGAAATTTAGATTAATTAGATACCGTGAAATTGATAATCTTTTTAGTGATTTTTAGGTGGACATTCGTTTTGTTCGATTTTGAAAATTTTGGTTCAATTTTTTCAATTTGAAAAAATCAAAACCAAATCAAAATTCATTCCGTTTGATTCATTTTTCTGAAATTTGATTCGATATTATTTCGTTGGAAATTTTTATGTTGGGTTCTTGAATATGCATGTGATAATTATATTTTCTGAGAAGGATATGTGATAATTACATTTAGTTCCAATGTAATAAATATCTAAAGTCAAAAAGAAATTGGAAAAAGAATATTTTTAAATATAAAACAAAATAATATTTTTTTGTGAGACATCATTAATATCAAATTAATTATATGATGATTTGAAAAATAAACAAACAGCTATACATGCGAATAACTTTCTGCCATGCTATATTTCTTTCACTTTGAGTTTTTTTTTTTTCCTTTTTGATTATGTGGTTGTGAAATTACGTGAGTTTTCTGTTAGATTTTAAGCTGTTAGTAACAGAAGGATGAAACCTGCCAATTTTGTGAAACTTTAAGGATGTTATTTGTTTACATGAATACTTTAAGGATGTACATTAGGTTTTGAGGATAGTATAGGGATGTTTTTGGCCAAAAACTCTTTTTTTGTACTACAAAGAATTTGTGAATAAATGGTGGGGGTTTGAATTTTGTTTGTGTAGGGATGGAATGCATTTAACAAAAGAAGGAAGTGAGATTGTGTTCAATAAACTCAAGGATGTAATATCAATGGCAGAGTGGGAGCCAAGCCTAGATTGGAACAAAATGCCTAATGAGTTTGCCAATATAAATGGGTGAAGGAGAGGATAAAAAGGGGCATTTCGGTGCACTAAAGCTTTTGCTATATTAATACAGGGTCCAGAGAAGCGTCCGATCACAAGAACCTATTATATGTAGTCTTACTTTGCATAAATAATAAAACGAAAACTTACATAAATACACTATATTAAGAAAATATTTATCATTTATAGCAATAACATTTTTTTAAGACTTAAGTACTAGATCAATTTCCCATTTTCATGTTTAGTGTGCAAAAGATCAATACCATTAAATGTTCCTAGGAAGGTTTTGCCTTATATTGGGAAGGGGTTTGCTTTCTTGTACAATGTTTTTGAGTGTGCTATATAACATAGTGTATTATGTGAGTTTATAAATATTCAAATGAAATAATGATTGTAATCAAACTTAAAAACAAACAATTACCAAAGTAATATTATGATTAATAGTATTTTGTTTTGATTTTCTTCATTTTAGTTTTTTTTTTTTATATTGCTTTGAATTATTTTTTTCTTGAGTTGAGGGTGTATTGAAAACAACCTCTCTACCTCTGGAGCAGTGCCGTGGTGAGGTCTGCATACATTCTACCTTCCTCACACTCCACTTTGTAAAATTACATTAAATATATTGTTATTGTTCGTTGAAAATGGGGTTTAATTCATTTTGCGGTTAGGTACATATTGTTTTGTTTAATGTAAGTTTTATATAGAGAAACTATTTTATATATAAAAGATCTGAACATAAATGATCTTTGACTTTTTAAAAGAGAAATAAATACATAAATTCAAACTATAAATGTTTACGTTGAATTTTTTCTCATATGTTAGTTGGAGAAGTGAGACTATCATTATGACTAATTAATTGAAATATATGTCCAGCATAATTTTTATGGGTAGAAAAATTATTTTCGAAAGATCTTTAATTCAATTCAAATAAGCTTGAAATGATTATTCATTTTATATTTATTCTTACAAAAGTTATTAAACTAATTTGTATAAATTTAAAATGACTAAATTTATGGCTAGTTATATTTTACTAATAAAATAAGTGTGACTAGAAAATATTCCCTTCTCAAGTTTAAATGAGATTAGACCCGTCCCTTTCTTATTTTTTCTTTTTCTACCCCAATGTAATTTTTCAAAAAACCTTGAGAAGAATATTTAAATTATAATTTTATATCACATATTCAAACAGACCATTATATATATTAGAACAAGCTTGAGATATTGATGCAATTATATGTTCTTAATTCTTATCCATCCATCATATGTAACAATAATTTATCCAGTTCTCATTTTCCATATGTTATATTTTTTTGGTTTAGAAAACTACAATCTTCTCAAAAAGCACTCCTCCTCATGATGCCATAATATAATAAATGGGCACATGGCAAGGTGTATTAAGTAATGACCAACATATTTAATTTTAAACTTCTAGAGATTGATGTGGAGATTGACTAAAATTTAATCTTTAGTATATAATAATAATAATAATATATAATAAGTTGGTAACCAAATGTGAACTAATACCAAAAACATGACGATGCACAACATATTATTTTATTGGTATGAATATATGGAGGAAGAAATTAATTAATCTCGTCTCTTGTAGGGATGGAGCTAGATGTTTCTAGGATTTTAAATCGCGATTTTAATTTTTTAAAATATAAAATTTGATTATAAGTTTATATCATGTACTCATATTTGGAATGAAGAAATTGTTTGTATTGTATGGATTATAATGATTATATTAAAGGATAATTAGCTAGTTGTAACTATTGTTGAATAGTGGATTTTTGAAAATTATGTTTATTTGAAAGTTTGTAATCGCAAATATTTATTCATACAAGGAATTTGGACATCTGAGATTTATCAATTTGGCACCTTATAGTTATCAGATACTCCCTCCGTTCCATTTTATATGTCAACTTTATACTTTGCACTTGCATTAGAAATGATGTAACTTTACCCTTCTACCCTTATTTAATTTTTTTGGAACTCAAGTTTTCAATCAATGAATATGAATTAATTTATTTTGATTAATTAATTTAACCAATGAACATGAATCATTTACTTAACTTTTCTAAGTTGATCAAATGTATGTTTTCAATGCTAATAACTCACAAGGGTAAAAAAGGAACAATATGCTAATTTATGCATTGATTTTATAAAATGATAAGTATTATGAACCAACTATTTATAGACAGAAATGACATATAAAATGAGACGGAGGGAGTATTTTGTTTATGAACTATGATTTGCTCATTTGAATCTTATAATTTAAAATTAAAATATATCAAAATATTTTTTAATCTTGTAATTTTAAACACTCGTCTGGAAAATTAGAATTAAAAATTATAAAAATATATATATTTTTTTAAAACATACAAAAAAAAAAAGTTACTAATAAGAGTAATATTTTTTTTCAAAAGCACTCCTCCTCATGGCCAGCTGTATTAATTAATTAACAGCATATTAAATTCAAACTTCTTGAGATTGCTGTTAAGACTGACAAAATTATTAATAAGTAAAAAATAGAATATTTTGAATATAACTATGGGTCTAATATTTATTTGTGATGTTATCTTTTAAGTCGTGTCTTCAGTCAAATAAATTTCAATTTATTTAAAATAAGTCACATTAATATAATTGTATGATAAATCATCTAATTAAGTGTAAAGTGAGATTCAAATAAGTCTATTTTTTATCGTAAATTTTTTATATATTTTTAAATATTTTAAATTTTCAATTATTGTGACTTATAATACTTTTTACGTAGTTTACAAATGTATAAATTTCATTTAAATTTTTTTGAGGATTCTTGAGCAAATTCTTGGTCAAACATAAACTCTTTGACTCTCGAAAAATGAAATGTGCACATAAATTGGGACGGATGGAGTATTAACATTGTAAATAGCTAAAATTTAATATATATATATATGTGTGTGTGTGTGTGTGTGTGTGTGTGTGTGTGTGTGTGATAGTAAATCATTGTTGGTAATAAATTATTGGGAAAAACCTTTTGGCCAGAAATTTGGCCAGAATTTGGCCAGAAAATTTAAAAAAATATGTTATCTTACCTTTTAAAACATTTTTACCCTTTTAACTTTAATACATTTTAATTAAAAAATGGAAAACAAATCAGTTTAACTTTAAATAAAAAGAATACTATATACTTTTTTAATTTTCTAGCCATTTAGCATTACCCATTTATCTAAAATAAGTTATTATGTATTTGTATGATAGTAAATTATCACATTAAGTGCAAATTGAATACCTAGAAATATTAATAACATTGAAATTTTAAGTGGTGTTGATTCTTATAATAATTTAAGTTATGTATATAAATTTATTTGTATAATTGTAAATCATCTCATTTAGTATAATATAAATATCTCCAAATATTATTACAACAACAACGATGATGAATTCGGTAATTCCAGAAGTCTGAAGAGGATATAATATACACAAACTTTACCACTATCTCTTTGAGATAACCTACAAATATTATTAATATTGTAAAATTTAAGTAGAGTGTTAACTAAAACAATTTTAAATATTTATGGAGAATAAATTATATATAAATATTTGTGTCGTAGTAAATCATTTCCAGTGTGGAGCCAAAAACACGAAGATGCACAATATAATATTTTATTGGTATGCATATATGGAGTAAGAAATTAATAAATCTCCTCTTTTGTAGGCATTATTATCCATTATAAATACAAGTGTTATGCAAATGTTTGTAGCATCAAAAACACAAAAATTGTTACTTATAAGAAAAAAAAACACACACAAAACAAAATGAGTGAGCCAAAGGTAGGACCAAATCGTCCATTGTTCGTTCTATTTGGTTCATCAATTGTGCAGCTAAGTTATTATTTTGATGGCTGGGGTGCTGCCCTCACAGGATTCTATGCTCGTAAGGTATTATTATCGTGTGAAAAACAAATTTAAAATTTAAATTTTATAAATCTTCTTCTCTGACATTTTCCCTTTATTTCAAAGTTGAAACTATTATGAAACTATTACAAGTTGAATATTTACTACAAAGGATCATTTGGTAGCATGTATTAAATAAAATAATGTTTGTATTAATTTTAGCGTAATGTTTGATTGCAAATTTAAGTAATTCTTGCACAATGAATATCGATATTACTTATACATCTTATCTAGTACTATTCAAAAATTAACGTCATCCATTGACTTGTAAATGAAATACATGTTGAGATGATATTTATGACTGCTTACAAATTGAATAAAAGAAATTAATCTTTTTAGAGCTTGCTATTACTCCATTATGCCATAAGATTGATAAATATATTATATTATAGGCCGATATATTTGTTCGTGGATATGGTGGTTGGACCTCAAGAAATGCTCTTCAAGTTTTGAGCAAAGTCTTTCCACAGGTACTTAACTTAATTTTGGAATATTGCATGTATGTTTCATTGTTTTTCTATTGAAAAATATCTCGTTATTTTCATAGAGTTTTGATTTAATCAGTGAAAAAAGAAGAAATGTTCATTGACTATTTTTAATATTTCAAAGGAAATTTGCTTTTCACCGTAAAAATTTTCAGGGAACCGGTTATTCGATGAAAATGAGATGGAAAAGGTTGTCTTATAATACACTTTAATTTCTCATTAATTCGTGGTAAATAAATCTTTATTTATAATTGTTATTTACTAAAGGGGGTTCTCAATTATGAAGATCTAATCCGAGATCTCTGATTCAAATGTGGATTTATATACATCATGCATCCCACTACATCCCTCGGTGATAGATAAAAATTAAAACAAGTATTTTCATTAGAACTAAACAAATAGTTTAGACTTTATTTGTTAGTCGATTTATAATTTATTATGATATTTGTTTTTCTTCAACTTTTATTTTATTTTATGTGAAATTCTAATTTGGTTTATTCACATGCAGAAAGATAAAATTCAGCCTTCTCTAGTTATACTTTATTTTGGTGGAAATGATTCAACAGATCCTGATATTCCTAATAGCCCTAATGTCCCTATTGATGAATATGTTGAAAATATGAGAAAAATTATACTTCATATCAAGGTAAAAAAACACAACATTTTAAGTTTAAATCATTATTTGTAAGCTAATTAATGTGATGTCAACTTAATTATTTGTTTTTTCTAACAAAAATTTGCAGGGCCTTTCACAAACCACTCGTGTAATTATGCTAACCGCTCCTGCAGTGAACGAGAAACAAATTATTGACTTTTATGGGTAATTAACCTCGATATTTTTTCGTTCATTTTTATTTGTTTATTATTTCAAAAATAGATTTTTACTTTTACTCGTCACTTTTAACATATCAAGAAAAGACAATTATTTTAAATAGGTCAATAACCTGCTTATTTATTAACTCAATCTATTTTGACATGCTGAGTTTTAACTCAACCCGCTCATTCGACGCTCATTGTTTTCAGGAGTAATCTAGGTAGAACTAATGAGAGAGGTCGCATATACTCAGAAGCTGGTATCAAATTGGCCCAAGAATTAGGGTTGAAGTATATTGATTTTTGGTCAGCCCTCCAGGAACCTTCTGATTGGATGGATACAGTCTTCTGGTAATGATTATTCTGCTATACACTTTATGAGTCCCAAAATAAGTGTCACTTTGGTGAAGTTACTAGGAAGTTTAAAAGTACATAAAAGAATTAAGTGTTTTGACCAAACTTTTATGAGAATATATAAGTGATTTTTAGTAGCAGCAGAAATTGTGTTTTAGAAGTTGGAAATATAGAATACTTTTCGAACCTTGATCAAGCACAAACAAACAAAAGTTTTTCGCGGATTTATTAGTCAAATATAAATTGCTAGTCTTTAAAAAAGAATTCAAAAAATACTTTTCAAAATAAACAGATTTTGAAAGCTTGATCAAACGGCCTATAACACACTATCACATGTGTTTCCTAAAATACTTACTTTTTAACAATCAATTTACAATAATTTTTATGAATAAATGGTTGGGTTTTTGAATTTATTTTTGTGTAGGGATGGATTGCATTTAACAAAAGAAGGAAGTGCTATTGTGTTTCATAAAATCGCAGAGGTAATCCAAGAGGCAGAGTGGGAGCCAACCCTAGATTGGGAGAAAATGCCTGATGAGTTCGATGGGAATCAGCCTCATAGTTTGTACCATGAGAAGATGATGGAGGGTATTAATAGAATGATGGGGATTCCTGCTTCACGTCAAGTTAAATCAGAGTAGCTTAATTATGTTACATCTTTTTCGGAAATACATGATAGTTTATGTACCAAACTATCCAATAAAATAAAAATATGCAAGAATAATTAGAGTAAGTATTAGTCAATTTCCCATTTTAATTTTTTTTTTGATGTGTCCAAATAAACTCTTTTGCAAAAGAGTACCAATAAATGTTCCTAGGAAGGTTTTGCCATTTTCTAGGAATTAGGGTTTAATTTGCTTTGTTGTAGAATGTTTCTATGTGTGCTATATATGTAACAATGTATTATGGAAATATTTGAATGGAATAGTGATTATGATATTGGTCCATCGTTCATTGAAAATAGTGTTCCAATTCATTTTGTGGTTCATTACATATATATATTTTTTATTTAGTGACAAAATTTTTAAAGATTTTTATTTTATTTTATACATAAGAGAAGATCTATGAGTTTTTTTTTCTTCAAAAATTCAAAATGTAAATGGTTATGTTGAATCATTTTCTCCGCATGTTAGAAAGAGAAGTGAGACTATCATTGATAAAAATTGACAGTCAAAAATACATCTAAATTATTCATTTTTTTTAGTTTCATACCTAAATTATCACTTATTAGTTTGAGAAACACATCTCAGTGGTGTGTGTAATTCACTCTCTTTTATTTGAAAAAACCTTGACACATAAAATTTCACATGGATAAAATATTCCATCTTGACAAAAATTAAATAATAAACTTTTAATGTTAATTCAAAATTAAAGATTAAAGTATTACTATCCCTAGAAAAGATAATTTTATTAAAAATAAAATTTAAATTATTTTTCTTACCCCACTCCACCACTCCTCCCCCCCCCCCCCCAACAACTCATACTTCACTCCCCCCTCCCCCCAAAAATTGATATTATTTTCAAAAAAATAAAAATTCTACACTACCCTATTTAACTCTCCACTCCTAATTTATTTATTTTATTTACGTTTTTCTCGTTCATGTGGAGTGTGATTGACAATTTTTTTAAAATAAAAGAAATAGTGTATTACACACACCATGATGAGAGTGTTATTAAAGAGAGAAGTGTGTTTCTCCAACTAATAAGTGATAATTTAGGTATGAAACTCACACTATCAATAGTTTAGGTATGAAACTAAAAAAAAATAGTTTAAGTGTGTTTTTGATACTTATTTCATAAAAATCAACTACTTTCTTTGATGAAAGTATAATTCAAAAACAAATGACAAATGAATGATATGTATGAGCTATTTCTTGAAATGATTATTCAACAACTATATACCTCATATAATTTTGAAAGTGAAATTTGAAAATGGTGGTGTGTATACAGATCTTATTTAGATTCCTATTTTAGGAAGATAGTACATCCGATTCAAGTAAGCATGAAATAATTGATGAAAAATCCTTTACTACATATTTTGTTCAATAATATTTTTTTTCATAATTTAACTTAGTGGATCTCAAAGACAATGCAATATCATAATAAAAATGTAACTCCTAAGATATTAATTAGATTAAGATAAATTTTTTTTTTGAAGATTTAGCTAAATTCGTTTGTCTATATTTCAAGTCTAAGCAAGAAAATATAATATGTAATTTTGATGGGGGTATAGGGAGCACTATCCCTCCAATGGACCCTATTCATCGCGAATTCGAAAAAGTCTAATTTATGAGTGTCAGACAAATGAAAAATAAAAATAAAAAGAATAATAAAGGAGCATATTAGTAATATTGGTGTTTTGCTTTGAATATATGAATAATTGAATATAAATTTCACAAAAGACGTAACAAGAAATGAGAAATTAACATTATAGAATATAAGAAAAAATCTTTAAAGAAAGAAAACATAAACATACACAAAATGGCTTCTACACAAAGTTCATAAATGAGATTTGAAGAATAATGCCTTCTTTTATAAAAAGACTTTAAAATAAAAAAGGAATCGAAAGACTAACAAGGTATTTGAATTGACTTAATAGTTGATCAGTCTATTTTTAAGTTAATTTTTGACTTCTCGTATTTGACAAAGTTAAAAATAGCTTAAAAATAAGTTTAACATGACTTTTTTAAAAAGTTAAAAATAAAAAATAGGTCAGTCTTTCCTACTTTATATGTTTTTTTTAAGTTAGTCCAAACATGCTCCTAAAAAGAAAATAGAAGGATAAATATAATTTTTTAATTAATTTTTAACTTTTAAATATTAAAATTAAAATAATAATAATTTTAGAAAAATAATATATATATCAATTTTGTTTTCGGACCAAAATAGTCCTTTTCACCACACGCCCTCAATTCAATGTTGTTCTTTTTTTCTAGTTCAATAGGTTTATAAAAATTGAGATCAATTTTCCTCTTTTGTTGTTAGCGATAATTTCAGTTTGATTTTATTTATTTGGAGGAATATGGCTTCAATTTCTTCTAGTCCGAGGACTGTAGAAGAGATCTTCAAAGATTACAGTGCTCGCCGTGCTGGGATACTTCGTGCTTTAACTAATGGTAACTTCTTCATATATATGCATGTTTTTGCCTGCAATTTTTTTGTTTTTTTTTAATGGATGTGAAATTGTTTTGTGTTTTTTCAGATGTGGAAGAGTTTTCTAATATGTGTGATCCAGGTAATTTTCAATTCTATTGATTTTGTGTTGCTTTATAGATCGAATTTAAATTTGTGGCTTGGGATTGCAGTAAAAAGAACTGATTTGCTAAGTCAATGAGAAAATTAGTTATGTTAGTTTTTACTGCTCAATTTGCAGTTTGAAATATTTGAGGTTTAGTAGTAATTGAGGTCGAGAATTAGGGCAGAAGTAGGGAGTGACAAATTAGGGCTTGCAAAATATGTACTAATTTTTTTGTTTGATATGGTTTGTATAGCTATAAAAAAGAAGTTTTTTTTTAAAAAAAATAAATCAGTGATGTTTGTTAAATAAACAAAGAAATTAAAGTTTACTAATAGTTAGGTATGTGTGGAAGGTTGGCTATTGTGGGTATAAAGTGAGGTAAAGGTAAACCAAGAAAGTTTTGGTGAGGTGATTAGATAAGACATGATGACATGATCCTAGAGAGGAAGATATGTAAGTCGAGGATTAGTGTTGAAGGTTAGTAGGTAGTCAAGCGTTGTCTAGTTCCCATATCAATATATGTTCTTTCTTTGGTTTAGATATCATTTTATTTGTTGTTGCTACTTGTTCCCTTCTTAATTGTTTTAAGCATGACTTCTTCGCTATTGTATTTGCTTTACATACTTGATTTTTGATATGCTTACTTTAGTCGAGGGCTTACCGGGAACAACCTCTCTACCTTCACGAGGCTGCGTACACATCACCCTCTCCAGACCTCCACTTGTGGGATTACATTGAGATGTTGTTGTTGTTGTACTCACAGTTATGTAGGTAGGGTTATGACTCATTTTGACCCAACCATCTCTACCCAACTTATTCTTGGGCAGGTCGGGTAGTGACCCATTTATTGATTTAGACCTTTTTACCCCAAAGTTCTGCCAAACCACCATTTTCTACCTCTACTGCTGGTCAATGATCTTTAGATTTTCTCAGGAATTGTCTGCATTAATTTACTAGGGATGAAGTAGTGCTTAAAGAACAAATTTCTCTTAAAAAGATGCCATCTTTTTGACAAGTATTTACTAGGGATGAAGTGGTGCTTAAAGAACAAATTTCTCTTAAAAAGATGCCATCTTTTTGACAAGTATTTGTTGCAACTCTTTTTAACAAGAGAAGTTGATCTTTGTGGAGTATCTTTTACTGAACCTGCTGTGACTTCTTCAGTTTTCTCTAAATCGTTTTCCTTTTAAAAGTATGCTGTGGTTCTAAGTTTGTCTCGCGGCAACTTTTCTCTCTGTTTTAAACTCATTGACATCTCTTTTGTAGAAAAGGAAAATTTGTGTCTGTATGGACATCCGAACGAAACATGGGAAGTCAACCTTCCAGCTGACGAAGTTCCACCTGAACTCCCAGAGCCAGCTCTTGGGATAAATTTTGCAAGGGATGGGATGAATCGTATAGATTGGCTTTCATTGGTTGCTGTGCACAGTGATTGTTGGTTGCTTGCTGTGGCCTTTTTTTTTGGAGCTCGTCTTAACAGAAATGAAAGGTACTCTTTTATTTTTACAAAATTGGGATAAATTAATATAATCAGATGTGAAAAGAACTCTAAAAATGTAGGTTCTTTTTCCACCATTTTCCAGTGTAGTTGTGCATATACCTCAAAAATTCCTACTCTCTGATATATCTTACTGATGGCACATGATATTATTTGTTGGAGCTTTTAAAATAGTTAATATATAATTTATTTATTTTTATGACAAGGGGAACCTGCAGCCGCTACTCTTTGTGTGCGGACAGGGTAAAACCTCCGCTCCTATGCAATAGCTCGCAAACCACACAGGAGAGGTAACCCGCACTAGGCAAGCCCGGTGTGACGAGCTCGACCCATAAGGCAAACCCCTTGCTTTTGCTGGCAAGGGGTTTCGAACTTGAGACCTCCAACATGCAAGTCCCAAGCCCAAACCACTGGGCCACCCCTTCGGGGTAGTTAATTGATAATTATATATTGTTATGGTTATAACTCCCCTTCACATACTATTCTTGCTATTCTTTTGGTGTCTTACATGGAAAGTAGACAATTGTTCGATCTTGATGTTGCTAACGGGATAAAATTGAATATTTTAGTGGTTGAGGAAGGTATTAGCAGGAAAGTGTCACAAGTTGCCATTATAAATGTTAGAATATGATTTATACAATCCTATTAGAATAGGAATAGGTTTATACAATCCTATTAGAATAGGAATAGGAATAGAAATAGAAATAGGAATACTAAATAGTATCCTACTTGGTAAAGGATTGTATTCTAGGGTCTATAAATAGGGTCTCAATGTAATAATGTAAACAACAACAATTCAATAATATTCTTTTCCTATATTTCTCACATGGTATCAGAGCCTCTACGAACTTGGTAGAGAATTAAAGAGCTTCCGCTGCCGGCGGGTCGCACCCATATATGCTGCC